CTACTTTAGTGGTCTCCAACTGGAATCGGATTCACAGATATATCTGATCGGTTGCATGCAGGACAGCTGCATCTTCTCAGAAGCAAGGAGGAGCTGACAGAAAGAAGGAAAAACCCTACCTAGCCAACAACTTTCCCACTTTATAGACTGAGTCTAGACAGAACTCACATTTTCTTCCCTTGAGAGTCAGAAGCAGGGACTGTGGGAAGTGGTGGCTGTGTCACACTCCTGAATTGGGTACACAACTTGCAAGCTAAGTTCTCTAGCACAGCAGAACTAATTTTGTTTTGCTACTGGATATATAAAGTAAGGAAGAAAAAAGATGGCATTGCACATTTTTTAATTACCACCAAGACTTTCAAACTCCGCCTTTTCCAGGAAATGTTCCTTCATGCAGTGGGAGGTGGGTATTTCACCCTCCCTCCTTCCCTCACTTGCCTTTCCTCGTGGCAACACTCAACCCCGTTCAGAGCTGCACTTCTCTCTTCATTTGTCAGCCTGGCTTTGCCTCTCGCATCACCTCTGGATGCTTAGCTGAATTCTTTGCCCAGGTCTGCAGGATCGAAGAACTCTGAAAACGATGGAAGTCGTGGGTAGCAATGATGGTCTCTGAGGGTGTCAGTGTTGCCAGTCCAAGACTGAAAATTCCTAGAAAAAAGAACAAATCCTCTTTTGAGTTTCTTCTACAGTAACGCATAACATTATATATTGGTGGTTCCTGAATTAATTTTAATTAAAGGAGAAAGTTGTTTTCTAGCCAGTGATTATAAAATATACAAGAGGGGAAGAAATCCTTCTTGCTTAAAATTCAGAGCAATCTGTATCCTGCCAGGAGTTGGTCCAACCACCAGAATCTTAAACAGTTACCCAAAAAGTGGATTTCATAAGCTTTTGTCAATTAAGGAACATCTTTTCCAAAGGGTAATAAAGTGTAAGTTCTCTTCTCTTTCTCTAGTACATATTGCATATTAATTTTTACAAGCCCAGAAAAGTACATTTACCAAAGACCAATAAAAATATTTTAGGTTAAAATATTAGTGGAGGAGGAAAGTAGACGGGGTGTAGAAACCAAAAATGAAAATCATATGAAGTTGTTTTCTGAGCCCTGTTTGTGACAAGTCATTAAATATATTAGATAGCTGTCAGACCCTAAGCATGTAACTGCAATACTCATGTCTTGTCATGTCCTCTCTGGAAAACAATGTGTAGTGTGGAGATTACCTAGGGCTGAAAGATGTTGCCATGAGCTTACCTCATAGTCTAGAGGCTACAAGTACCTTGGTCTAGGACCTTTTATTGGTGTTTTCTCTGGACTTTGAATACCCTCTGATTATAAGTCTTATTATTGGGGGTGAAACTTCTTTGCCCAGAATAATAGTCTTGGTGTAAAGATATATCTAACCATCATTTCACTGTTTGTATTTGGTAAATTTTAGGGCCTTGACAGGTAGTGGCATTTGCAAATGCTGCCAGATTCAATATACAACTAGCCAGCATTTTATTTTAAAAGATGACTTTTCGGCCGGGTGCGGTGGCTCACGCCTGTAATCCTAGCTCTCTGGGAGGCTGAGGCAGGCGGATTGTTTGAGCTCAAGAGTTCGAGACCAGCCTGAGCAAGAGCGAGACCCCATCTCTACTAAAATTAGAAAGAAATTAATTGGACAACTAAAAATAATATAGAAAAAATTAGCCGGGCATGGTGGCGCATGCCTGTCGTCCCAGCTACTCAGGAGGCTGAGGCAGGAGGATGGCTTGAACCCAGGAGTTTGAGGTTGCTGTGAGCTAGGATGACGCCACGGCACTCTAGCCTGGGCAACACAGTGAGACTCTGTCTCAAAAAAAAAAAAAAGATGACTTTTCCTCTATCTAAGATTTCAGTCCACATAAATATAACAACTATGGGGTCATTTAACAAGAGCTCATAGTTTCATCAACTGCCTTTTTCTTTTTCTAACCATCACAGACAAGAATTGGAAAGTAGTCTCTCTCTTTTTAATTTTTTTTTATTTTTGAGACAGAGTCTCACTCTGTTGCTGGGGCTAGAGAGCCATGGCATCAGCCTAGCTCACAGCAACCTTAAACTCCTGGGCTCAAGCAATCCTCCCGCCTCAACCTCCCGAGTAGCTGGGACCATAGGCACGCACCTCCACGCCTGGCTAATTTTTCTATTTTTAGTAGAAACACGGTCTTGCTCTTGCTCAGGCTGGTCTTGAACTCCTGACCTCAAGCGATCCTCCAGCCTCAGTCTCCCAGAGTGCTAGGATTACAGGTGTGAGCCACCACACCAGGCCTCTCTTATTTTTAAAGATGTTGAAAGTGAGGCCCAGAAAGGATAAGTCATAAGGATTTTCGTAGGAGGACCAAGCCTCAAATTTAGGAAAATACAAAGGCTAGAACCCAGAAATCCCTGATTTCTATTCTTACATCACAGTCATGCTGCAGTTTGCTTCACGCTCGTCCCCACCTGGAGTTGTTGATTCTCCCTTTGACTTAGAGGATGTCTTATGTCACATGCTACAAGACACTGTCTGAGACATTAGCAGGCAATTGGATGGCTCCATGCTTGTGCAGTCAGTCATAATCCAAGAAATATTTCTTTAGGAAAAAAGGATATTAACTGGGGGTAATGATGAGGCACTGAAATAAAAGAGAGGGAAGGGGAAGTTGCCTTGAGAAAAAAAGGATGGTAACTAAGTGTTATTGGGATAGGAAATGTAATTAAATTAGGGGAATGTGCTGGCAAGGCTGGGATAACTAATTACTAAGAAACACAATCTAGGGCAGGTCAGGCAGAAAACATATTTAAACATTTTAATAAAATTTACAAATTTTATTTTGGGATAGCCCTAAGTAAGACTAAGACTGGGAATCCATTTATCTGGTGGAAAAATGACTAAACCAGGTAACAAAAAAGCAGTCTTTTTGGTTGACCATCATAAACACTATGGAGTTCGCACAAAACAGAACCATCTGTTGTGTGAGGAATCATGGAAAGAGATTCTGTATTTATAGAATCCCGAGTGGGAAAACCAGGCGCATTAATTAACATTACCCCTCTTCTCTAATTAGAAATCCACTTTTCTTCTAGTTTCTCTGCTGTCAACATGTACTGCATTTAAAAAAAAATGTCAATTTAAAAGCAGACAGACTCGCTATGACTAATTTAAGAACTCTCAAAGCAGGCTCTTTTCCAAAAATACGTTGTAATTGACAATCCTGTAAGCTCAGTCTAAAGGGGATACTACACAATACTGACCCTGAGGCTGAATCAGATGTTTACTGCTAGTTTGGGCACAGCAGGATAGTCTATAGATCTCAACTCTTAACTGTTTTTGGTATGGGGTTTTGCAGTTAAACTCTTCTTTAAACAAACGTTTCCAATGGGTGTATCTTAGACAGCCTACTTTAATAATTCTTATTTTTTCCTCTTAGCTTCTAAGATGGAAGTTGTTGCAAGGAAAATTTTATATTTTAGGGACCAAGAGATTGCTAGTGCTTTTCAGATACTGCATGTTCCTTTTAAGACACACATTTCTTAATAAAAATACATTTACATACTTTGGTACAATTATTTTTGAAAAGCTAACATCTTTTGGTAGAGTTGCTTTTATAGGAATAGCTACCTGTGTATTATAATTTCTTTGTATTCTGGAGGAGGTTGGAAATCAAAGGAAGTGATGATTCTCTTCCAAAAGCGTACAAAGAGATGATAGCATCACATTTCACTCAGTGAATTCAATTAATTTTACCATAAATTCAATTGTAGGGGTGGGAGGCCAAGCAAAAATAAATGACATCACCATTTGCTCGTTGTCTACAACGTGCCAGGTAGTGCGCTAAGCACATTCTGTCCTTTATTTCATTTAATCCTGATGTTCGGAGAGGTTAAGTAAGTCATGGCAGGTCATACAGCTAGTAAATGGCCAGGAATAACCAGTAACTCAAGATACTGACCTATCTTTGGTTCCTGTTTAAAATAGAATAGGTAATCAATTTCTTGGAGGTTTTGTTCAGCAGTCTCGGCTTATTGACTCTACATCCCTTCTGCTGCTAAATTGTTCAAGCAGCTTCTTGTACCAAGTGTGATCCGGTTCCTTAAGAATCACATTTAATGAGAGGCTATGAGCTAGAAACTCTGCTAGGTGATGTATGCACCTTATTTCCTTTCATCATTACAACGACCCTGAGAGACTGGGTTCTCTAACTCCACTTCATAGATGATGAAACTGTTCTGGAGAGGGTGAAGTTGCTTAAGGTCGCTGAGGGGTAGAGCCACAAATGGAGCCCAGGTCTCTGCCTCCAATGCCAGAGCAAACTTTCCCCACCATGCCAGTGTTTCCAATGGTGAGCGGCCTCGGGCGAGAGAGCCACGATGCTGATTTAATATCTATCAAGTGTTTGCAGTGTCCTGGGATGCGGCACTTCGATGAGAAAGCTGTGGCAGCACCAACTTCTGGGTTCCCTCAGCGAGGGGTAAGGAAGACGAGCGGCGTAGGAGGGCGCAGCCCTCACACTGGAGCGCAGGAACAACAGAAGCGGTCCCCCTGCAGGCTGCTCGGGGAGCGCCACCTCTTCCCTCGGACCGAGGAGAGCATGGAGGAGCCCCAGGACAGAGGACACCCTGGGGAGTCCGAGGTCCCGACACAGGTGGCAGCTTTGGTGCCGCGCGTTCCGGACGGGCGCCTCAGGAACTAGAAGCAACCGGACCGAGTGCGGCGGAGAGCGGCAAGCGGAGAGCTCCAGGAATCGCCCTCGCCGCGCCCCCGCCACCGAAGCCCCGGCCCGTCCAAAGCCGGGATCGTGGGCAGCCCGCTCCGCAGCGCCCCCCGGGGTCGCGGCCCCGCCCTGCCTGCCCCCGGAAGTGACGCGCGGCGGCTACGGCGTCTGGGAGGGGCCCAGGCGCAGCCGGGGGGTTCGAGAGTGGCGGCGGCCGCCGAGCAACGGGCAAGCCGAGCCGCGGCGAGGAACGCCCCGAGCGCGCGCCCGCCGGGTAGCGGCCCGACGACCCGCGCCGCCGCCGCGTGCGGGGGCGAAGAGGGCGGGGCGCGAGGAGCCGCGGCGGCTGCGAGGCGGCGGGAGATGCGGGCGGCGGCGGGCACCCGGCGGGCTCGGCTCGGCCGCTGCCGCCTTCTCCGGCTCCGCCGCGGGGGTCGCAGCGGCTGCCGCGCCGTCCTCGAGTTTCCAGCGTGAGGAGGAGGCTGCGGTCGGAGAGGCGCATCGTGTTCGAGCCAGAGACCGAGAGGGAGCCCCGCGCGCGGCCTCGGTGAGCGGCCAGCGCCGCGCGCTCAGTCGGGGTCTCACGGCCGCCGCCCCACGGGCCGGGAGCGGGGGCGGGGGCCGAGGGGCTGGCGGCACAACCGGAAGTGGGCGCGGGTCTGCGGGCGCGCTCCCCGCTGGACCCGCCCCCGGCTCGCCCTGGCGCTGCGGCGCGCAGGTGGACGCGGGAGCGCAGCGCTCCGCTCTCGTCGTCCCTTATTTGGTACCTCGAGATCCCTTGGGCAAAAGGTGGCAGCGGTTTTTTTTGTTTTGTTTTGTTTAGTGGGTGGGGAGGAGGGGAGCAGTTCTGACTTTCTGTAGTGACAGGAAATTGGAAAATGAAAGTACAGTAATTCAGTGCCTACGAAGGCCGGGGGAGGTTGCGCCTCTTTCCCCGGACTTTGATCTTCGGGGTACGCGCCATCCGTGTTTCTTCCTCTCCCCAACCTCGCTATTCATCCGGTGTCAACTTTCATTTCTGTTTCTACTTCTTTCCAGCTACCCCCCCCTTACTTTCCGCTTAATGTACAGCTGCGGCAGGGCTGGTAGCTTCATTCCTAGGGAGGTGAATTGAAAACATCTTTTGAGGGCGGAATATTAACTGTCCTTGGAAGGGAATAAGAGATACTGTTGACTGAAGTAGTCAAAAGATGTACAGTTGGCTTTTCCCCAAGCGTTTGCTATTTGAAGTTCACAGCATTTAGAGAAAGATTCTGGAGTTTTATTCCTCATCACAACGGTTTGACCATCTCTTTGGTTGGCGGATCAGATCCTCCCCCCTCTTTTCGTACCCCTCACTTCCACGCCCTGCATGGAAAACTTCGTGCTTCAATATTTAGGGCTGACAGTGGCGTTTTCCTTAAAATACAGTATGATTCAGTATTTCCCCCTCAGGAACTCTCTTTGATTTTATTTAAACATTAAAACTGCATGAGTGGGATCTGTTACATTCTTAAGGAAATATTGTCTTCAAGTTTTACTGTAATGTAACAGTATACTTTTAATATTCTCTTTGTATAGTATTCTGCACAGTTAGATACATCTGGTTACTTTCTGACTACTGCGATTATTTTGATTCAGAACTAGGCTTGATATATTTCATAACTTGGTTTTGTTTTATTTAAGCAGCACGCTGAACAATTTGGAGACTTATTTATTCTTTTAGGTCTTAGCTGCTGTCTCTGAAAAATAGTTGGGCTATGGGTCACCACAGCAACTGGACTATGTGTATCACAAACATGTTTAGGGTGGGAAAGGTTTCATTTAATAAAGACTTCCTTTCCTTAATAAGTTATTTCAACATGCTCCCTCTTTCAATTTAGCACAGGGATTGTTCTACTATCTTTGAAGTGTTGAGATGGAATCAGTTATGTTTTCAGCATTTAACCTCTCAACAGATTACTTCATTTGGAAGAAATGAAGCCACTGTACCTGGCTTCACCTATGTAATTTTTAATAACTGTCTTCTGGAATTTTTCTTCTTTTTTCTTTTGGCTGTGGTATCCAGGCTGGAGTGCAGTGGCACAATCATAGCTCACTGCAGCCTCGAACTCCTGGGCTCAAGTGATCCTCCTGCCTCAGCCTCCCAAGTAGCTGGGATTACAGGCGCAAGCCATAATTTTTTCTTTAGTTTGGAATTTTTTTCTTTAGTTTGCTTTTATGTCTGAGGAAATCATTGAAGTTCATAGTTAATACCACACTTTCAGGAACTAAAATGAAGAGTTTCAACTTAACTGTATACTAAGAAGTTCCCCAACTTTTCAGTCAAAAGAATAATCTGATATCAAAATTGAATTAAGAAAATATTCCTTTAAAGTACCCATTGAAGATGTCCGTTTTATATCTTTGTTAGTTCTTCTCAAAACAATTCATTTCCAGTACTTCAGTCCAAAACTTCAGTGCCCTTTTTCTTTTACTCTCGGTAGCCTTCCATCCTAGATACACCGTAGTCTGCTGAAGAAGCATCAGCATTCTCCACATGGTTACGTTCTACCCTGAGGTGCCCAACAGCTCACCAGCAATTGACTCGATACGTTCCACCCTGCCAATAACCACAGGGGAAGATGGAAGTTAAACCTGTACCGCCTTGGGAACACCCATGTTTTTGGGAATCTCCTTGGTTGCCATGTGGGGACATTAATTTGTTATTTTTTGTTTTTTTAGATGTATAGCTCAGGTATCATAAACTTGCAGGGCTCAAACATTATCTACATGGTAGGTACTAAGACTCCAGGATTTGGGTTTTGAATTTTTTTCAAAACCAAGTGGAATTATAGGCACCACATTTGTAGTAGGCGAGAGATTCCAGTTCTCTGCCTGTCTTTGCTTCCTTTCTTGTATCATCATCTCTTACATGTGCATATTCACACCCCTACCCCTGTAAGCATTCTTGATATGAAGGTGATGTCTGGAAATGTGGAAATTTAGTTCTTTGGTTAAACTCATATTTACTAGGGAGTAGTTTTAACAGGCTTAGACTAGCAAATAATTGTTTGAATGGGAAAACTATGTAGTGAAAAAGTAACTTGCCATGAATAGGCTTCATTAGAAGAAAGATCCATCTGGTAAGGTCAGAGAAATGACAGGGAAACCCTTGGCCCCTCCGCGGTACTTAATGGATATAATATAAACCCACCATTTTAACTCAGCTTAAGTGAGGCTATGGGAAACTGATTTCTAGTGGACATGGTTATTTAGCATTAAGGTAGCACTTCATGTTCATGGATTATTACTGTATCTAAAATGTAATACTTCTTTACAATCAACTGGCCATGCGGATGTGTTTATCCATCCAGGGAAGTGGTTTCCCTAATGAATGGAGTACATGCCTGTGTGAAAGAGACTTGTATTCATGGCCTCAGCTTTTCCATGAACTCTGTGGCTGTGAGAGGCATCTCCCCCTTTCTGTTCTTTATGATTTTACCATCTCGACTTTTGGATGACTATCTCTGTACAACCAGCTTCAAAGTGATAACTGTGAGGATTATTGCAGGACATCTGAATGTCTTAGAAAGTTAGAGAAACCTAGATATTTTCTACTCTCATTCCTTATCTCCACCCTTTTTCCCTTTTTAGAAGTACATGTAGTTGACCCTTAAGGATCTCATCCTCTGTGAGTTACATGTTGTAGAATTAGTCTTCCGAGGCCTAACTTTTGCAATGTTTGTTGTGTTAGGTTTGCTTGTTTTAAGCATCTTTATTGAGATATAATTCACATACCTAAAATTCACCTAGAGGGTACAATTCAGTGGTTTTTAGTGTGTTCACAGCCTTGTGCAATCATCACCACAGTCTAAGTTTCAAATACTTTTATCACCTCCTTAAAAAAACCTGGACCTATTAGCTGTCACTCGCCATTTTTCTCCTCCACCCACTTTAGCCCCCAGCCCTAAGTAAACATGGATGTATTTTCTGTATCTGTAGATTTGCCTAAATTTCATATAAGTGGAATCATATAATATGTGGTCTTTTGTGGCTGCCTTGTTTCGCTTGCCTAATGTTTTCAAGATTCATCCATGTTGTGTTTGCATTTCATTCTTTTTTATGGCTGAATGATATTCCCTTGTATGAATGTACCACATTTTATTTATCCATTCATCAGTTGATGGGCATTTAGGTTGTTTCTACTTTTTAGATATTATAAATAACACTGCTGTGAACAGTATAAGTTTAAGTATATTCCAGTATAAGTTTTTATATGGACATATAAATGCTGGGTCTATGGTAAACTTGTCCAAAGTGGCTATATCATTTTGCATTTCCACCAGGAATGTATGAGGGTTTTGGTTTCTCCACATCCTTGCCAACATTTGTTATTGTCTGTCTTTTTGATTACAGCCATCTTAGTAGGTAAGAAGTGGTTTCTTATGTGGTTTTGATTTTCATTTTTCTAATAACTAATGATTTTGAGCGTCTTTTCATGTGTTTATTGACTATTTGTATATCTTCTTTGAAGAAATGTCTTTTCAAATCCTTTGCCTATTTAAATTTTTTTTTTTTTAGTTGTAAGAGTTCTTTATATACTAATATCTTGGACACAAGTTCCTTTTGTGATACATAGTTTGAAAATATTCTCCCATTTTGGGGATTGTTATCTCACTTAATGACATTGTTTGTAGTACAACAGTTTTAAATTTTGATGTACAGTTTACCTGTTTGTGTAGTTTTAATGGAATTGATTTAATTTGTCTTCAAAATCTATTTTGACCCATTGAGATCTCATTCCTAGAGAAAGGAAGGGTTTTTGTTTTTGTGTGTGAAGATGTTCAGTCATAGGCTTCTTAGGATTAGCTTATATGTATTTGGCCAGAGTTTCTACCCTTCAGAATTCTTCCTAATAGACAAGGTATTTTGAAATTCTATGAGGAAAATACCTTTGTGAGAGCATTTCCTTGCTGCTCGATTGCCTAAACCAATGATTATCAACTAGGATGACTTTGACCCCCCGGAGGAATGATCGTCTCAGTGGGGCAGAGGATGCTGCTAAGCAAACCGAAACACACAGGACAACTTCCCGCAACAAAGAGTTCTCTGTCCCCAAATACCAATAGTGCCAAAATTGAGAAACTCTGGCTTAAACAGGAAGATCCTAAAACTTCAGATATTGAAGTATTTTCCTTTAATCCATGTCTTGGTAATCAAATAAAGGTTACTAATCAGATAAAAGGAGAATCTATGCAGATGGAATCCCTATAGACAGAACGGTGACAGAACTTGTAAATTAAACAAGAGAACATTTTGCTGAATCTTCAGTGTTGCCAATTTGTATGTCAATTATATTTATGATAAGGGAAACTATTTGAAGGAGAAATGCCAGTTGGAGCAAAAGTGTATTATTCCCTACACCTCAGCCTCTGGGCCACCAAGACATACACACAGACACTGATAACACATACACCCTGGCAAATAAAGAAACTGGGTTGATTTAGATAGATTCTGAAATGGTAGTCTTCTGAGAGAAAATGACAATGAGAGTTTAAGATAAAATTTAATAACAATGATACTCTAGTGATCAACAATCATCAACCTGCTCCTATAATTTAGGGAACTAGCTTTATCCTCCTTGTTGCTTAAGACTTAAGCAGCATGGTATGCTTAAGAGTTTGGACTCTGGATCCAGATTGCTTGGGCTTAAATCTCAGCTCTACCATTTACTTGTGTGACCTTGGACAAGTTACTTAACCCTGTTATGAATCACATTTTTCTTATGTAAAATGAGGATGCAGTAGTATCTATCTTGTAGGAGTGTTATGGGGATGAAATGAATTAATACACACTTAAAATAGTGCCTGACATATAGCGTTGAATAAATGTTGGCTGTTAATATTATCACATATCTTATCTGTATTCTTTCAGCTCATTGCTATGGATAGCGCTATCACCCTGTGGCAATTCCTCCTTCAGCTCCTGCAGGAGCCTCAGAACAAGCACATGATCTGCTGGACCTCTAACGATGGGGAGTTCAAGCTTTTGCAGGCAGAAGAGGTGGCTCGTCTCTGGGGGATTCGCAAGAACAAGCCTAACATGAATTATGACAAACTCAGCCGAGCCCTCAGATACTATTATGTGAAGGTAATACACTTCCTGGTCTTGACGCTATCAGAGAACCTCAGGACAAGAATTATTCCTTCTTTTCTGTTGAAGTTATAAGTGCTGATGTCCTGGTTTATTTTAATCCAATTTATTTTATAGCTTCAGCAATGTGGAATTAGAATACAAGGTGTAAATGTTCCCGCTGTATTTCTACAAACTCCTATCCGTTAGCCTACTCCCACTACATGTATTTTATTCCTACTCGCATTTGTATTTAAAAGAGTAAGTACAGGATTGGAATATGAAAAAGGAAATTTGAGATTTTTTTTGTTGTTTTTAAGAGGTAGGATCTTGCTACATTGCCCAGGCTGGATTCAAAACTCCTCCTGCTTCAGCATCCCAAGTAGCTGGGACTACAGGCAGGCACCACCACACCTGACTTGTCTCCTTCACTCACACACACACACGCACACACACACACATACACACACACACACACACTTGTTTCTGTAGCTTAATTTTCAGTTTAACCCAGGGAACAAAAATTAACACCTTAAAGAATAGCTATTAATACATAAAGTTGATTTCTTAGTTAAAATTATGTGTTTTTTGTTTATTATCTTATTATTTTGAATACACTCTTGGGGCACTAAGGTAAAATAAATGGCTCCAAAGGATAGAATTAGAATGAGAAGCCGAGAGATCCTAATTCCTTTCACCTTTAAGTGGTTGCTCTTATCAGCTTTCCTGTATGGAGATACGAGATAAGAAACAACTGGAGGAATTTCTGAAGGAAGTAGGAACCTTAGCAGATGCAATATTCTAAATTCCTTTTCGCTTACTCGGGACGTGTATGGCTTGTACCTTTGGAATTGAGATTGCAGTTCATTAAGTCTGACTTATACAGATACTGGGTTGAGAGTGTTAAGCAATTAAAATCTTTCAGCTTTTATGTAACATATTAGTTCAGTTGTTAATACAACATTTAAGTGTTCTTGCCTTAACTTCCTGTTAATAACAGGGACTGTGTTTGGTATGGTTGGATGGATTTAGAGCAGGGGTCCCCAACCTATGATGAGTTATATAATTATTTCATTATATAT